GTATCGAGGACCGTTTTGTCTCTATTATTACCTTTTAATTTTGTGATAATAGGTATAATATTATTCTTTTAAACAAACGAATATTTTATATTATTATTATATACTTGTATTTTACATAATACTAAGTTTTTTATATAATTGACATGTATAAATATAGCTTACAAATATTTCCATTAATTATATAACTACAGAAACTCGTTACTACAATAATTCCAAAGTAACTGCGTCGTACTTCGTTACAGGTGCGGTACTGGTTACTTTGTAGTTGGTACGTACTGTTTATAACGGCTCTAATAGCTGACATAATTGCGTACCGGTTTTCCGATCCTGTAGTCGTAAAATGTGAAAGTAGACTAAATAGCTAACAATTTCGGAAGCAACTGGTCCTTTTGATATCCAAATCACGGGGATTTGGCGAGTATCAATGTAGCTAGCTCTGTTTGTGAGCTTTCGCACTGAATATTGAATTTTATTCTACTTTATTCAAAGAGCAGCGCCAGTACAAACTAGGCTACATTATTTGGACCTTTATAATTTTTGCTAAATGCCCGTGCAAAGCCGGGTCGAATGACTAGTGTACTATTATTATTATTATTACTGGATATGTGTTTTATATCTCCCTTTTTACAGGAGTAAAACTTTCAAACAAACAGGCCTTAGTCAAGCGTGGATGAGTTATATGATATTATCATTATAGTATTTATTTATTTCAGGCAATAGGCCTATATTATACCTTACAGACTAACATACCTATGAAATAATAATTCAAAACTAATATATTGATATTGTCTGTGTGGTTACGGCACTGACGACGGCAATCTGCCACGGTAGCGCTGATACACCACACCCTTCGACCAGTAGTCCTCCTTCATGAAGATGGGTAGCATGTTGTGGACCCGGGCCACAAACGCCTTGAAACTCGCGTTGTGACTCGACTCCAGCTGCTGATAATTAAGCATAATTAACAAACAAAATAACATAATGATAGATCTAAATACCATACGTTTTAATATGAGACTGCTGGAAAGTTTTATTTATTGTTTTTTAAAATACCGTTCCACTAATTAGATTACCCTCTCTTCTGACAACAGGTCGAGGGCTAAATGAATAAATAATTAAAGTTTCTACGCCGTTTTTATATTAAAATGTGACCCAACAAATATAGTGTATTTATTGGGCCTACTTTAGTCTAATTTTACAGTAGATTGATAACTATTTTTTTAAATAATACATTCAGATTTTTACCTATTTGAATGACAAGCTGACGGTTTAATAAATTAGATGGTAGAAATAGTACTGTTCGTATTAACTACATATTTCTATTCTAAACATAATTTAGACATTTTGTGGCAGAATAGAGAATTAATAATATCATAAGTCTTTATTACATTCAGTAAATATTACAAAAAAAAAACTAAAATATGCTAAACAAAAGCCGGCCTTATCCCTTAAAGGATAGGATAGGATAGGATCCCTTTTCTTCTTCTTCTTTCTTCTTCTTCTAAAGCAATCTGCTACACACAACCTGGAGTAACATGGATCAGTGAATGCGATGGAATGGAGAATTTGTACTTTATCATTTTTATTATATTGTACAGCTTTAATAACTTTATATTGTAACTATAATGTTAATAATGCTACAAGTAGGTACTACAAGATAATGATATTTATTCCAGAACAATTTTCCCAGAATGGTTCACAAAATCAATACATCACACGAAAGCTTCCAAACCTTTTATACTTCTTTTACGCCATTAAATATTTTTGCGAAGCAGGAAGAAAGGATTTCTGCCAAACTTCCTGTGAAGTTAACATCATCTGTTCGTAATGCCAGCTGACAAGTTCACAAATAAAGTTGATATAGTTTGAACGTTCAATCTGGCTCCAAGAAGGTTGTTATAACAACAACAACATACCATCACAACGGATATGCCAGATGGGGTAGTCAGGGACATTGTTAATTGTTTGACAATTGTTGTTTTGGTGACTCATAAATATAAACTGACACACAAAGGGTTTTTTTGTGTCGGCCAGATTGAACTCACGACCTCCTGGGCCTCAGAGTAATAAACTAATAAGCAATGCGGCCACAACGCCTCCTTGTTATAAAGCATTTTTTTATCCAAATATAATAGAAACTTCTTTTCCACTCCATTCAGATAAAAAAATCCTATCTGATAGTTAATGGCAACAATCATCAATATACATGAACAGCATATACGAACATTACCATTTCGCATCTTAAGCTTTCAAATTGCCTACGTTGTCATTCTTATTCTATTTCTTCTTTCGTTTCAATGGCAACTAAATATATTTTCGCCAGATTTACCATTCTAAAAGACTAAGATGTCATATCTCCGGAGATAAATGGACGAATAGTCTAACACGTACTTAATTTAGTTCGAATCTGCAAATTATCGACTAACTTAAAAAAGATAATATACAAATTAGTTATTGTTTTGTATTTAATAATTTTAATACGACTAAATTTACTTTTTCTTGAAAACTAAATCGACTACTTTCTTTGTATTACTCGAATTTGGCAGCATGTACAGTATCCATATTTGTAAACGTTACAGTTTATAGCTCTCGTCTTTCTAATCTCGTTTAGGTAATAATTTTAGTAAAACTAAAGCTATTTTCTTGTACTAAAAACCTCAAAATTTTAATATTGTATGCCCATTATTATTTTATTTACGTTAGTCATATCTATTTTTTATTGAAAACTAATAATCTCAATTTTTTATATGGTATGCCCACTGTGACTTTGTTTGGTTGGTAATTATTTGTAGAAACAAGGAAAGGTAGCTGTGTTAAAATTGATGTACCTGCAGAAATAGATCGATTCATTTATGCGTGAATCGCGGGTAGAACGCAAATGCAATAAATAGTGTAGTGTTAGCGTTCTTGTGAGTCACAGTTGTAAAAATCGAAAATTGTGCTAATATATGTAAGTAAACAGCAATTAACTATATAATTCACCTCATTTAAATTGATTTTATGTCCAGAATTGTGTTTATGTTGTCGAATATAAGTCCATCTTTATATTATTTCTTTGTATATTTTTTGTTTTATCTATTAAATATTGAGGGTTTATTCCGGAGAATATGCCACCCCCATCGGTGCAACAGTACAAAATATTTAAATTATTATATATTTCTCTCGTTAATGCCAAATTTAACTATATTAATCATTTTGACTTCTGTTATTTTTAAATACTGTTGGAAGTTCGATACCAGTGAATAGAAGGTAACAATTCGCGCCTTTTGGTTTTTACATTATTAATATGATAACATTCTTCAATTTTTAAACTGTTTGTATATTTTGATTTATACGCTACGCTGTAGCTTCAGGTAATGTATAGCATATTCATCAGAATAAAACATAGTTCTATAGTTTAACTTTTTTAAGCAAACATTACTGAATAAATTTTAATGAAACTGCAATAATATAGCATATTCATCAGAATAAAACATAGACTATAATTTAACGCGGGTGAAACTGCAAGCACAGCTTGTTATCTATCTATGTGTGTGTATATACATATCACTAATTTAACTTAAACTTCGTTTTTAAATACATATTAATGTTATTAATGTTTTTTAAATAAATATTATTATTATATCTCCTACCCTCCATTGCACATTTTGACAAAGGCAACGAATTACATGAATAAGACAAATGGCATCCAATCCTCTAGAATGATAACGTATTAGTGGTATTACGGACGTCACTTGAAAACTTAAAATGTCCATAGTACTGTTGATGTATACAGACGACAGTTACCACTCACCATCAGATGTTTTGTCAGCTTGTCGTCATTCGAAATACATAAAAGAAAATTAGAAAGGCTCGCCGCTTTATTTAAATTCTATCAAGATCTACAACTCTCTGGGTAATATGAAAAAGCTAACGTTTTTCCACCATCTACATTTTACTTACTATGTCTTTATAAATTGCGTCGACCTAACTTGGGCGTTAAAAGGGAAAAAATTACAGACCATTTCTCAAGAGGAATTACAATGTCGTATGTTCGCACTAATTTTATTTAAATTACTTTGAATTTTTATGTGTTTATAAGAAAATAATGGTTTGTTTGTTACTGTTTATATACCTGATAGACTCGGTGGTTAGTGATTTTGCACACTCTTTTATCGCGGGTTTGATTCCACGCACGATACAAATATTTGTACTCATATATGGATCTTTGTATCGGTCTGGATGTTATGTACATTATGTATAAAGAAATGTGACTAAGAATATACCTACACACATAATTTAATAAAAATCGGTCAAGCCGGAAGAGTTTTGTTATAAACACTATTTTTTTTATATTGATATTGATTATACTGATATAACTACGCATATAATAATATTGAAAAACTCTTTTACTATTAATATATTTTAAGGTTTTTTTTTATTGTTAGCAAATGTATAAAAAAATCTTTACGTGTCAATTTACTGTCTCTTGTTACCATTAAAATATTTAATCTATTATAAATTATTTTACAACAATTGGAACGTTTTTTTAGTAGATAGTCTAGTTTTACTATTATATATTTAATATAAAATATATTGATATTAGTAACAGTATAATTTAATAAAGTATTATTCGATTATCGAACCCATTCTACACCATCTATGCACGTCGGCACAATTAAAATAAATGTATTATTTAATATCATCAAAACTGAAATGAAAATGGGGACATTTGCTGTCTACTTGCAAGTGTAGCTTACAAGTACTTTATCATATTTCATTTCGCTATTAAATATTATTTTTTATTTTGTTTCAGATGAGATGAGAAACGAAAAAGAGTAATTTTGTATACTGAAACATTATATGTACAAGAATAAGAACAATACGTAAATAAAAAAAATAATATTTATAATAGAATATAAATAAACTGACAATAAATCAAGCCAAAGTTATTTATTTACTACAATTAATATAATAAAATATATTAATTTGATATATGTATATATGATCGAGTTTATTTATTCATATATGAGAATAATAATTTCGAACGACAGTAATATATATTCTTAAATAAAATATAGATAATTATTTTTCTGCAAAATGAGTTTCGATTCGAATTCTTCTGCAAAAAAATTGAATTTCGAGAGAGCGTCGAACTTCATGAGGCAGTTCCGAGACCCAGATTCGAGGGAATTAAAGAAACTGTCGGCAAACCAGTTCATGGAAGTGTGGAGTCACTACGACAGGGATGGTAAGTGGAAGTGGATTTAATTATTTTCATAATCACAACAATATTGGTACTTATATTATTACCAGAAGTAGACTATAAAAAATCGTCTACTGTCAGTATGGCAGTCTCACCTATATCAGCATACAAACCAATTTCTCTCTACAATTGTCTAAACGATCTTGGCCTCTTTAGAACTTCAGTATATATTAGAAAGTGTATCTAAAGCTGCACTAGAAGGATCATACAAGATTTGGCTAGACAGGGAGAGAAACACAAGCGATGGAGCAAGGGCCCCTTAAACCTACATCCAGGTCATAAGTAGGTACCAGGAACTGTTCTGATTTTTCCCTCTCAGTCACACGATAGACCAGGTTCCCACAAATGAATAGATTGCCAATAAGTTTGTGTTACACAATTTATTTAAAAAAAATTATACAGATTTTACTTTATATATCACTAAGTAGATTTTTCCTTTTAAAGTAACATGGACAATTAATTTTCTCGTATAATTCCTCATTAATTACACAAAAGCTGTAAATCTCTGTATTTAATCTAAAGTTATTATATTATGTAAAGTTTTAAGCCGGTTGTGCGCATCCGGAGGCTGCGTAGGTATAGATAACTTCTCGTGTCTACCGTCCACACTGTCAAATTATGTTGCTATTTTAGAATTTAATTAAAAGTAATTTTTTTTTTATTATACAGTATTCTAAAGGTATTTTGAAAACCAGATACTAATAATAAGACTTATTCTTAAAAATTAACAATTCTTCCATATATACTCCATATAGATATTCATACATTCTCAAAAAAGATCTTATTTGGTATTTTAAATAGAACATTTTGACATTGTTAGTTATTTTTAAACTTTGGTGTTTAATATACATTATTTATATTGTTAACCGCTAAGGAGCTAGTGCAATCTAGTCAAAACGTAGAAATCCTTTATAAAAATGCTAAAGCAGCTAGTCTGTTATACGATAAATAAAAACACAAATTAATAATCAATTACTAAAAAAATTACAAATGTAGTGATATTTATTTAGATTTATTTTAATAAAATTAAACTTAAAAGAATAAGTACTTACTTAAAATAAATTATTACTTAAAAAAATACCACATCATAGGTTAGATTTAGTAAAAATAAGAACAGTGGAGTGGAACACGTCTTTCCTTAATTTGTCGACCGTTAAATAAAGGACACTACTTAATTACTGTTCTTTTAAAAGCAATTCAAATGAACTTAAGTTAAATAATAGACGTTTTATTTTTTGGCAGTAAAAATGTTTCACTATAGTCGCTCTTGATAAAACACAATGGTGGTGCATAAACGGAAATAACTGCAGCGGAATGAACAGATATTAATTTTCTTTTTCAGTCCCGAAAATAAATAAATATTGTTACGTAACACGATTTTTTTAATGAAATAGAACGGCAAACGATTTGACGGCTTATTGAGCGAAGCGCGAAACGCGAAGCGATCTTAGAAATCAGATTTGCACTCTTTGCAACAATACTTTCGGGCCTACATCGTTTACCACACAAAAAAATCAGTCAAGGTTGAGTTTTTAAGAATAAACGCGCTCCACTCAACCTGTGACCTGGTGTGTAAACAACACACCGGTAACAAACCTAGTCAGATGGTATGTCATCATATAACGCCCATACCCCTCATGGGTTGCCATTCCGAAAAATTACTATTAAGATTTTGTGCCTCTATAATTCCATAAATTTACTGCCTTATCCAATCTTCCACGGAAACAGCAAGCTGCTTGGTGATTGAAATAGAAATAACGACGTACCCCACACAACTTTTAGAAAATCAATCTAGATGAAGAGTTAAATCTACCATCAGTTCGAAATGGACATGAACTTGACTCTGATTAAATTGATTAATATTAGGGTGATACACAGATCATCAGCTTATGCTGTTAAATTTATGTCAATAAACAAAATAATTAAATCAACAACCTAATAATAATAATATCTCAAAACAATATATACAGCGCCATCTGGTCTCATTTTAGACAACACTAACAAAAATACTACTTATATATTTTTTGTAAATACACACATACTTATAAAACATCCAGATGAAACAAAGAATAATAAATGATTACAAATTTTTGCACCGTGCGAGGAATCTAACCCGCGACTATGGGAAGTAAAGCGGTGTTCTGAACCGTTAGACCACCGACCGTCGTTTGTATAAAAATAAAATCAATATAAATTCAAATCGTCTAAATATAAAGCTATTCCGAAGCAATATGTGCAGTAGTATTAGTTTAAAAGCAATATAACAAGGGAGATTCGTGGAAAACGTGCAGCAATTTATCGTACACGATCTGAGAAAATACGATAAATTGCTTACTGTATACTCCGAAAGACATGTCGCATACAAATTTGTCAGCAGTCAACCTAAGATTTATATAAATGTGATAAATTATATGTCTTTTCTTGCATAGCTTAAATTTGCTGTTAAATTTACATGAGACGAGATTAATACGAAGATAGATGGCCTCGGTGCTTTACTTCTGATGGGCGCGGGTTCGATTTCTCGCACGGTACAAATTCAAAAATCATTTATTATATATATACACATTTTAGCCGCTTATGAACGTCAAGTATTTACATTATATTTTGCTTATCCCTACCGTCCAGTCCGGTATATAGATCCAATTGAGAAGAACTGGCAAGAAACTCAATTGAATTACTTTTTTTTTTAAAGTCAGTTTATTTACAATGTATAGGTATTTATATAGGTGTCTATGTCTAACATTAAATGAAAATCCCGTACGTGAAAACTATTGCCATGCACGCTCGTAATTCAAGTAATCGTTTAGTGAGTAATAGGCCTTGCTCAGTAAATATGATTTAACAGATGTTTTGAATTTATTTAAGGGTAATTCCAAAATATCCTTTGGTATCTTATTGTAAATTTTTATACCTATTCCCATAAAAGACCTATTGACTTTTTCTAAACGATACTTGGGGACAGCAAGTTTGTCTTTAAATCTAGTATTAATATTATGAATATTGCTGTTTTTTGGAAATAAGTCAAGATTTTTATGAACATATAGGATATTTGAATATATAAACTGAGAAGCAACGGTGAGAATATTTTTAACATTCGTATTGTTTGTATCGGTCTAGATATTACGAGTAGATTTTCTTTCAAACGTAAATTACGGGAACATTATTTAAACTTGTAACCTTTCCTGTGTCCTGTTTGCTCATTGTTTTTTATTTGTATGTATATATATATATATATATATATATGTAGTTATTTATTTATATATATTTTTATGTGTATCGTTTAATATATTTTTTTATATTTTCACCGTCAACAATTATTCTCTGCACCACCCATGGTTGATTGGTAGATAATGCCGCATGGTGTTAAGTCCGCCATATGTAGTTTAAAATAATGTGCATTAAAGTTTAAATAAATAAATAAATATATGTCTAAGTATTAATATCAGTTGTTTAGTACCCATAACAGAAGTTTTGCTTACCGTGACACAAGATGGTGTTAATAGTCCAAAAAAATAATATGATTATTTCTTAAATGTTGAGAGGCATTTTTAGCTATCGACGTCGTGGACGCATTACTTGATGTACTCACATTTTGCTTATTTTATTTGAATAATTTAATATTTAAGACCAATTGTTGTTTACTCAGACACCTAACCTACACTAACACTTATTATGAAGCATTGAAACTTGAGAAATTTCTATTATGTGACTTAGTACCTATTACCCGTTACCTGTGCTGCTTTTTTTAGATAAACATTAGCCTATATTTGTCATCATGGTATTCATTTTTTATGTAAAATTTCAATAAGATCTTTTCAGTTTGTTTTGTTTCGTTTATATGGGCAAAATGTAATGAACCGAGAGTGAGACGTACTTTCAGTTTTATAATATTAAGTACATTATTATATAGTATAAAATAATACATTACATACATCAGTACTAGTATTTCCAACAATGTTTACAATATAAGTTATATATATAAGTAAATCATATTTGTAAGTCTGAAAATAACTCCCACTCAGCATTTATACTGTAGTGTATAAGTTATACTGCAGCGCTGATTTTCAGAGGGGTGCCAGACGTGAGACAGCCTACGTAAAGATAACAAAAGAAAATAAAATGTTGATATTAAGACCATTTCATTAATAAGTGTTATATAAAATTATTCTTCTTATATATAAAATTCTCGTGGCACAATGTTAATTACCATACTCCTCCGAAACGGCTTGACCGATTTTTATGGAATTTTGTATGCATATTGAGTAAGTCTAAGAACCAGCGTTATCTATTTTTCATACTCCTATGTGATAAGGAAGATAACCCCTATATATTTTTTTATATAACCCCCCTATAATTACGACAAAATATTTTTGTATAATGTGGCATATAAAATTACATACAACCCTAAATTTTCACACTTTTACTATATTTTTTTAATTTAAGCGATATTAGTACTTAAATTTATATGACAAACTGAAATTCCGGGACAGATAGTAATCATATAATAATAGTAGGACATATTATTATATGAGACGGTAATAATATCCCTCGGTAACATGTTACATCATTGCAGATGTTGAAAAGCCTTCGCAACCTTGAACTGAAATAAAAATAGCATCGTGGACTTGTATAATTATAGCTACTCGACATTTCGTCGCATGCACTGAATGAGACAAGTAGGCGGCTGTTAAGATATTTTAACCGAATTCAAAAGATATGGCAAGAAACTCAATTGAATAAATAAAATTTTTTTTTTAAGTTTTTACAATAATACTTTATTTATATAGGTGTCTCTATATCTAACATTAAATGAAAATCCCGTGCATGAACAACTATTGCCATGCACGCTCGTCATTCATGTAATCATATATATATAATGTAGTGAGTAATAGGCATTGTTCAGTAAATATGATTTAACAGATGTTTAGAATTTATTTAAGGGTATATCCTTTGTTATCTTATTGTACATTTTTATATCCATTCAC